CATTGAAATAGTTTAAGATAAAAACAATGCAAATCAACATCACGTAATACAATCATCTTCAAGTTATATAAAATTTAACAAATATTTGATTCACATTTCAACCTTTTAATATCATTAATTACCTTATAAACAGCACCAAAGCCACCTTGTCCAAGCTTATTATCATCAGAGAAGTTATGTGTTGCAACTCTGATGGATGCAAATCTGAATTGCACGCATTCATTGCCTCCATTTTCTTTGAAATCTTCATGAAAGAAAAACGTTGAAGTAGTTAATTCCATTCAATGTTCAAATCTGTATCCCTGACCATTATTATGTATATTGAGTAAAGACTAACATACTTTTGACCTCTTGCTTTGGCCGCCTACAATAAAGAAAGATGGAAGTGATAACTATAACTGCCATGAAGATTAATACGGAAACAATGATGATTACAACTTTCCGAGTTGTATTGCCATTCTCTGCAAACCAGGGAAAGGTTTCAGATAAAATGTAAATAGAAGCTGAAATGTTAATGCTCAACTATGAGTGAAATGATTAAATTTATTGTCTTGTACGATAAAGAAGAATCCGTCGTTTGCATCAGTGCATATATTTGTTATAATGGAAAAATCACTTGCTGATAGAAAAATTATGTGGTAATTAAAAAAAAAGATAAAATTTTCCTCAAACTCTCTCTGTAACTCGTTAATAACAAGGGAAGCAATATTTCCATCGGTAATTTCTGATAATAATCTCGAATTTATTTTCTAATAGTGTATGCAAGATAAAGGGCAAGTCTCCGAAAGTCTGGCGGTCGGACTTCTTTTTTTCTTGACCAATATAATCATATATAATTGTAACTACAGGTTCTCAACAGGGTTTAGGCTGCGAGAATCTAGAATTTTCCTTCTCCTTCAATCTAAAAGAAAAGTAGAAGGACAAGTGTATATGGGATTCCATTTCCACGTTTCAGTAGAAATACGTGATTTGAATTGAACGATTTTATTTTATTTTTTGCTTGAGAAAGGAGTTGAATTTAATTCAATACAAAGTGATAACTATAATTTCTTACATTGAATTCACTCATTTTCTATGAATTTTTTCTGGTGAGAATTAGGACTACTAGAGTTTTTGTATTCTCTTCTTAAAATTGAGGATGTTGCATGGATGACTTGGTATGAACCGCATAATTTAGTGTGTGTGTGTGTGTGTGTGTGTGAAAGGTAAAAGGGCTATCTTAATTCATATCTTTTCAAGGTCTACCTGCAGCTGGCGGAAGTGGTAGCTGTGCTAATGTGGCGGCTGTAACTCTATAAAAAGGGTAGGTTTCAAACCTTAAATAGCAGCTTCCTCTTACAATTCTCCCTCCAATCTTTCCTTCGATCTGTCCATCACAACAGCTTCGAATCTGTTGAAAAGTCCCAGCCAGGCAATCATCACAATCATGGGCTGATAAATCAGGCATGCATTGAACGAGTCCAAATATTGTAATGCTTCCCGCCGTTTGATTTCCTGTCGCAAACTTTAGAAGTGAAGTACCTGAAGCTGCAGCTGTACGAAGTCGACTTGTTAAGTTTACAAGTGCCTGACTGAATAGATTCACATGCGAGGCATTTTCTGTGTTCCAAGTGTACACAATAAACTCTTCGTCTAAGACACCAAACGAGGATCTGTTGGAGTATCGTAGAATACAGAAATCATAAATTCCTATCGCCTCTTTCTGGTTAGGACAAACCTGTAAGATCTTACGCACAGAGTTACTAACGCAACCTCGACACTCATTCAGCAAAATATCTCCTCTACAAAGTGCAATTGCATGTACTTGGTCCGGGCCTATTTGACCAGCAGAGAAATTATAATATCCGTAGTCAATTTGGGTATTGGAGGCCAGAGAAGAAAGGAGGCTGTCAAGGTTCTTTTGGAAAGTGCTGTTAGCTGTGTAGTTGTTTTCGATGTTTCTGCAAGACTGGTACAAGAAATCTGGTTGAGCAATACTCAGTGAGGCTAGAAGAATACAAGAAAATGAAAACAACACTATTAGTCTTAAGGAATCCATTGGAAAAGGGTTGCTCACTCTTACCTCAAGCTATTTTTTTTTTTTTTTGGAGATGGATAGTGCATGATGGGTTTCATCTGAGGGTGTTAATTCTATTTATTTTTTGAAATCAGAAGTCTATGATTTCAATGCTTGAACATAGATAGCTACTATTTTGGGGGAGAAAAATGCTTTTGACACTTTAATTAATTGTCGATTTGAACACGAATTACTATAGGTAAACTTGGTCAACATGGAGGCCAGAAAAATGATTCAGGTATGCAAGTATGATGTGAAGCCCATTCAATGAAGCAACAACTGTTATCATAGGTCATAAATCGGAGAGTCTTGAACAATTTAAGAGATTATTTGACATAAAGGGAGCAGTGGCATACAATGGGAATAACACAGATCAAAAACAAAGATCAACAAAAGGCTTACCAAATATGTTGTTATGTGGGATAGTAGGCTTATCAAATATAAAGCAACACGTAAGGTTGTATAGTTCAATCCTTTGTATACCAAAAAGTAGACAAAGCATTTACTGGTTTCTGTCGTCGTCCAGTCTTATTCCATCTTATTCTATCCAGCATATTAAAAGTATCTTCTTTTTTTTTATTTAACCTAGGATATCCATACTAGCTTATATTTATTATAATTAATTTTTAAACTAACTGAACATCCTATGCATATGCAGAGGAAGGAAATAATTTCCTTCGGTCACTGGGCCACAGCCTCCTGCGCATACTAAAAGTATCCTTAAAAAGCGAAGTGATTGTTGCTCTAGAAAACTATGCTTATTACAGTTGTTTGATTTTGATATGTTATTATAAAATATCACATTAATATGTTTGGTAAACAAGTTAATGGATTGAGATGTAAGTCATTAACGACAAGCCGCCCCTAGAACCATATCCTTCCTCTAGTTTTTTTAAACAGATTGAGTGGAAGTCGTCTTTGGGTGCTTCATTTATTTTAAAGAACAAGAAAATTATTGAGGGTGGCATGAATCAAGATAGCTTGATTCATGCGTCAGTGACGAGCTTATTTACTGTAAGGTAACAATCAAACAATAAATATATACCCCGAAAGCCACCTTCATATTCAGATTACCCCACCATAAAAGTGTAGTTCACATTAGCAGTCAAGACATCCAATTTTTTTCTATGTTAATTTTCTAAGTAACTATTATGTATCTCTAATATCTTTATGTGATCTATCACATTATCCACCACCAAAATTTCCACTAATAAATAACATCATGAAATGCCAAAGCATTTTTCACTCATAATCCTCAAAAATCAAAATGTTTAATAATTTTTTTTTCAATTTCATTCTTCAATATTAGATTTATAGGGTAATGAATTTCATAATTTATTTTGATTTATTTTTTATATAGTTATCCTAGTTTTATAACATAGATCGTAAATTATACAAGTAGTTGTGTTGATTCAGGTTTTTTTTTAACTTTTTTTCCTCATCTTCATTCCTTGATATTGGATTGATTGGTAATTGAGATTCATAATTATTTTTTGATTTTATTTCTATGAATTTATTATAGTTTCATGATCTTGACCGTAAATTTTATAAGTTAGCTAGGTTGACTTAAATGTTTTTTTTTGTTTTTTTATTCAAACTCATCCTTCAACATTGAGTTGATTGAGAGCTAGAATTTAAAAAAAAAATTATTTGTTTTCTAAGAAGCTATTTTAGTCTCTTGACTCGAATTTAGTAGATTAACTCGAATCGACTTGAGTCACTGTTTGTTTTTTTTTAATTTAATTAATCAACATTGAGTTTATTAAGAATTGAGCTTCATAATTTTTATTTATTTTCTTTTTATATATAGGGTTATCAAGATTTTATAATCCACGTTGTAGGTTATGCTAATTAACATGGATTTTTTGTTATTTTTTTAATTAATTAATTTTTTTAACTTTATCCTTCAATATTGGATTGATTGAGAATTATATTTCATAATTTATTTTGATTTGTGTTCTATAAGGTTATCTTAGTCTTATAATTCGAGTTATAGTTTGGTTAGTTGACTTAAGTGGTTTTTTTATGTCCTTTTATTAAGTGATTTTTTTAATTGCATCCTTTAACATTGAATTGATTTTAAATTGATTTTTATAATTTATTTTAATTTCCTTTATATAATGTTATTTTGATCTCAAGATCGAGACTTAGTAAATTAATCCAAGTTTACTTGGCTCAATTTTTAGTTAAAGCTTATTTTTTTATTTCATCCTTCAATATTAAATTAATTAAAAATTAAATTTGATAATTTTTTTATTTACTTTCTATAAAATTATCATAGTCTCATGACCTCTATAGCAAATTTAGCAAGTTAACTAAATTTAGCAAATTAACTAGAATTGATTCAAGTTAATCTAATATGTTTTTATTTCAATAATTTTTCAAAAAGATATCATTTTAATTTTTTTAGTTAAACTATATTTTTATTAACCATCTAAGTTATTTTTTGATTTTCCATATAATTTATCAAGTCAATCCTTATACAATTTAATAGGCTCCCTATTAAATGTTCAAATGGTAGCAGAGCCCATATGAATTTGCTTGTGGGCTTGTCATTTAATTAAAGTACTGATCACCTAGAAATATGCAGCCTCTTATCGCCTTGTCATTTAATTAAAGTACTGATCAACTAGACAATTGCCCTCTTATCGCCTGTTCTTCCACAAATTGAAAAACACAAATAGAATAATCATTTTCGATTCAGTTTAATTTTTATTTATAAAAATTAATTAAATTAAATTATATTTTTTTTAAAAAAATAACCAAAATCAAATTAAAAACCAAATTAACCCAACCAGTTTCAATTAAGTTTGTTTCGGTTTTTAATGAAAAAAACCAAAAAAACCTATATTAGATTTTTAATGGGCTTTTTAATAAACTTTTAATTAAATTTTTATTGAACTTGTAATTAATGATAATATTGTATACTTTTTTTATAAGATTCTTAACCAAATCAATTTTTTTTGGGTTGTTTTTTGCAACTAAATATTCATTTGTTGCCTTCCTAATAATTTTTCATTTGTTTTGTTTGAGTGAGCAGAACTCCTGCTGCAGATAAAGTTTAAATAACACCTACCAATAAATTAAAATATAAATTATAAAATATTATCTTCAAAGGGCTTTACAAAAACAACAAATAACATTATCATAAAACACTCCAGTAGTCCAATTGTTGCCATCAAAACCTGAAATTAACAATACAAAATTATAACTTGATAAATTAAATTAAAAGATATAAAAATAAAAGTATTCCACATCAGATTTGGGCAATTTTCAAGAGAAATTCTAAGCAATAGAATGAAAATAGGAAGCTGAACAGGGAAACAAAAATCCAAATAGAAGCAGAAACAATTTTTCATATAAAGAATAAAATCAATATGATTTTCCACCAACAAGTACACTGAGATCAAAATACAAATAAGGAATCTCCCATTTCCTTAATTATCAACGAAAATAAAGCACAAACATGGGTTTTTAATTCTGCCTACTTGGTTTGGAAAACAGTTTTACATATTTTGCACTTCATCCTATTGTTGTTGTCAATCTGTCTAATTTGAAGAAACAGAAAATAATTTGCAATTCTGACTAATTAATTTGCAATGCCGCAAGCACTAGAGATCAAGATATATACATTCCTTTCAGTGCTCAAACATGGGTTTTCAATTATCAACGAAAATAAAGCACAAACATGGGTTTTCAATTCTACAAACATTCCTTTCATTGCTCAAGAATAAAAAACCAATTAAAGCAATCACAAACATTCACGCATGCAATACAGTAAAATAAAAAACTACAAATGGTTACCTTAGATATGGATTTTTGAGCATTCAAAACAACAACTGTGTCTCTGACCTCTGCATTGAAAAGCAAATACAATAAATATAATAGAAGATAGACTAATTAATTAATTAAAAAGGAAAAAACATAATTAAAACTTATTGCTATAAAATCGAACTTTCTTCTCGAATCTACAACAGTACAGTCCGTTTTAGACCCAACATCTTGTCTGCAACCATAAAATTAAAAAAAAAAAATTGCCAGAAGAAATTCAGCAAGGTCATGAATCAATTATGATCTTGTTGTAGAAGGGGCTGAAAAAAATGACAATAAAAGAATGTTGACAGGATGCAGATGTGAAATGTTATAGAGATTCAGAGAAGTACCATGTGTCTGTGATCTTGTATAGATGAAGAGGAAATGCCAACTAGATAGGTTCTGCCGTTCTGGAACACGTTGATCTATTGTTGAAACTTGAGAGGCTTGATTGGTTTCAACTTTCAAATTTCAGCTGATGCTTGGCGTTTCTCTGGTTGTCTGTGTTTGAGAGTCTAAGACTCTAAGGAGAGGGGGCGGCCGCGGGTGCTAGTGTTAGGATTTCAGCTGATGCTTGGCGTGCCTCTGGTGTTTGAGAGTCTAGGGAGAGGCGGCGATCGCGGATGCTAGGGTTAGGATTTCAGCTGAGCGTGTCTCTGTTATTTGAGGAAGTGTTTGTTTGTGCATTTTAAAAGTTGTTTAAATTTTTTTTGAATTTTTTGAATTTTTTATTAATTTCAAATAAATATATTTTAAATAATTTTAAATTATTTTAATAGATTAATATTAAAAATAATTTTTAAAAAATAAAAAAATATTATTAATATATATTTTAACATAAAAAATTATTTAAAAAGCAATATTAACCACACTTTCATATATATTCTCACAACTAAAAAAGAGGAGACGGCCACACTGCTAGGGTTAGGTTACTAGGTATTGGGTAAAGATTTTTTATTTATTTATAGTATTTGTTTATTAGAAAGGTTCGTTTCAGTTTGAGTTTATCGGTTTCAACAATACAAAACTGAGAACTAAACCAAACTATAAATTTTTTAAAAAAATTTAATTTTAATTTTTTTTTTAATTTAGTATTTTCAATTAATTTTTAAATGATTAAATCGATTTATCAGTTTACGAATAGCTAAGCAAGTCGACATCCTCGTACCAACTTTTATGCCTCCATAAAGACACGCACAGACATGGAAAGCCCATGATATGAAACCTACTAAATCTTCTTATCCAAGATAGGCCTATTAACACCAGGAATTGAGGATCCTTCAAAGCTTATGGCTGGGTTTGAACCTTGGCCCTCTTCTAAAGATACTCCCATGCCTATTTCCCCCCCTACGATATCCCTTTTTTCTTAAAGAACTAAAATTATGATTAAAAAAAATATGTAAGATCCACAGCTTTTAGATGCATCTAAATATATAGAGGGAGAGAGTAAGATATGGGATTCGATAGTCTAATCTATCTGTTAATTATTGATTGCTTTAGGACCAGATTATAGTTATTTTTAAGTTTAGACGAAGAAGAGTTTAATTTATTTTAAATATATCTGTATGGTATCCGAAGAACAGGCTTGGCTTGAGTTTGCACAGCCAATCAACCAACATTTTTACTCTTTTGCCTAATTGGTTGTCATTCAATCTATAAAATTTAGCAAATATTGCTACCAAAAGCGTCTCAGAAATATAACAAGGACCTAATTGAACAATCATGAAATCTAATGTGGTCCTTCTTTTTTATTCTTTTTCATCTATTTATTTCACCACAGCTCCTGCTTCCATCGAAAAACAAATAATTTGAAGCAAAGTTGGAGCACCAGCATCGTTAGTAACTTGCTCTTTACCTTTGGATGTTATCGAGGGTCCATCTCAGAGATGGTAACCTCATTGTTAGACCACCGGGAAGATCTAGTCCTGGATTCATCCGACTCCATTAACCTTGAAGCATTCACCGATGACGGAAACGAGTCTTCTCTGTGCATAAAAAATGCAGGTTTTGAGGGTGCTGCGAGAGTGACAGAGTAGCTACTAAGCATCAAAGAAACTTGAGCCATAGTCGGTCTGAGGGCTTCTTTTTCCTGAACACAGAGTAATCCGATGATGATGCATCTCGTAATTGCACTTCTTGGACCCTCATTCAAGGTAGGATCTATTATGTCTAGAGGTGTCCCATCATTCCATTTTCTCCATGACTGCAAAAATTTAGATAAAGTTGATGCACATTATTCAAACAGAATCAATAAAATAAAGCACTGTTGATACTTACATAGGTTAGAAGGTCCTCTCTATCATCTCCTATGCCGCTGCCACCAATCTTTCGACCACTAACAATTTCTAAAACTAAGACACCAAAGCTATACACATCTGATTTAACTGAGAAATGTCCCCGCGTAATATATTCTGGAGCCATATACCCGCTGCATGGAATCATCAGATTGGATTAATTCTAGATTAAAAATGGCCGCAGAAAATCTACTATAAATTATTTCATTTTTGTCCTATCAATTATTATATTTTGAAAAATATGTGGCAGACTGGCAGTATATACTTACAAGGTCCCAACTACTCTACTCGTGCTATCTTGAGCTTGATCCATAACAAACATTCTTGCCATTCCAAAATCTGAGATTTTTGGATTCATGTTCTCATCTAGCAGAATGTTAGCAGCTTTGAGATCACGATGAATAATCCGTATTCGAGAGTCTTCATGTAGGTAAAGAAGGCCCCTTGCAATGCCATCTATGATTTCGTAGAGGGTTTCCCAATCTAGAAGTACACGCTTGACTGGATCTGCAAATCAACTAGAACTAGATCAATTACCTGAACTGACCATGGAGATTACATGTTCAAACTTGATCAAGGAATCAAATGACGAATATACCAAATATCAAGTTGTTGAGGCTCGAGTTGGGGAGAAACTCATACACAAGAATCCTTTCTTCTTTCTCACAGCAGAAACCCAGGAGTCTAACCAAATTCCGATGCTGAAGCTTGGCAACTAACATGACCTCATTCTTGAACTCTAGCTCTCCTTGTCCTGATGCCCTAGACAATCTCTTTACAGCTATATCTTGTCCACTCGTCAGAGTGCCCTGGAATCATTTCAAAATCAGAGATGTTTAGAACAAATTGAATCTAGTCCAAAATTACCAAATGTCTCAAATTGAATCATATTTGACAGACAATTGATTTTCCTTTACCTTGTACACGACACCAAATCCTCCTTGTCCAAGTTTATTATCCTCAGAGAAGTTACCTGTTGCTGCTCTGACAGTGCCAAAATCAAGTTGGAGCAATTCTACATCTTCCATTTCATTTAAATCTACAACAAAGCAATCCTAACGCATAAGCAAATGAAAAGGCTGCTTCTTTGAAGAGCTTGAATGAAACATACCTTAATGTAAGAAATGGTGTATTTTAACACTAGCAGAATTTCCCATCAATTATCATAACATCAGCAATTTAAAGCTTCAGTTTGAGTGTAGGAATGGTAAGCAATAAAAAGAGGACTCTAAGAGGCTAAAAAGCTTCGCGTTATGTCCTTAACCTTTCAAATAACTTCAGAAATCACCTTTAGCTTCCTCTTCCCCCTTCTGCTTCCTCCTAGCTCTTAAGAAGATGGAGATGCAAACTATAAGAATCACAGAAACAGCTATCGGAACAATGAAAATGATGGTGATGACATTTCTCTTCATGCCCTTCTTCCCTAAAAACCAGAAATGAAATCTTATTTACACATGTTTAGGCTGAATAGATAGATTTGTCTAATAACTAACGAGTAGTAACAGAGCAAGTTAAGTAAATATCCAAAGGTTAACTTCTAAATTGCTGGGAATAGATCCTTAATTGAATCGAATCTTTAACAGCCTAAACCCACATACTCAAATTCAAAATAGTTGAAGAAAAGTATTTCATCTAGTCATGCTTTAAGTTGTGCGCATACCTTGTGAAGTTGAAGCTGGTGGTGATGGAATTGAATTACTCGAAGGGTCATAGAAACGGTCTATCTCATACCTAAAATTACAGCTTGGATAAATAACTCTTCCTCCTTGTCTTGCATCACAACACTGTGGAATAAGTCCTGAAGCATTATACAGGCAATCCCTGCATTCCGAAGTGGATAAATCAGGAGTACACTGTACAAGTGCATATATTGTTTGATAGTTTGGGGCAGCTATTTGACCCACTGCATACTTGTAACGAGAATCCCCTGCTGCTGCTTCATCACTCAGCCTATCTAACAAGGTCATCCGTGACTGATTGAACCCGACTACATCAGAGACATTAACTCGATCATCATACACCCAAAAATAAGGTCCTCCTTCCAAGAGATTAAATATGGAGCGGTTTGTGTAGCGTACCATACAATCATCTAACCCTCCAATTGCCTCCACAAAGTTTGGACAGAGTTTTACCAGGGAATCACTAGCATTTCTTATGCAACTGCGGCAGGAATCAGGACTGATATCCGGTCTACAAAGTGCAATTGAATAGACTGTGTCTGCGTCTTGGCCGTTGGAAAAGTTGTAAAAGCCATTGTTTATTTCAGTGTTGGTGTAGATAGAGGTGAGGAGTTGATTGAGATTTGCCTGGTAAGTACTGTTAGTGGTGTAGTTGCCCTTTCCTACACACTCTTTATATAACATCACAGGCTGGTCTGCTGGCTGCTGTGCCTTAGCTAGAGCCAGAACTTTCACGAACAGAAGACAGAGAGAAAAAAACAATCTGGAAGAAGCCATCGGTTTTTTTGGCTGCCTCTGAATCTGGTACAGTGATATGAAACGATCTTCCTAATTATTGAACGACCACGCGGCGGCCAACATCTGGGAATTATTCAAACTAAGTCCGGCTTGTGCATACTTTAATTAAATATTGGAATTCTTCGAACTAAAAGTCTCAATAAGTTTGTCTTATAGATATGGTGGTATCCTCACCGAATTTGACAGGCTTCGAAATAAAATAAAGAATATTAACGTAGAAGCTCAAGACAAAATTGATTTAAATTAAATAGTAAAACCAATATTATTCAAGAACTAAAAATAATCTTGCCAATTTTACATGCTTTATTTAATTTTATAAGATTTTAATTTAATTATCCTTTTAACTTACAATTAAGGGCTTTCCGGATATAAAAAGTGGATTCAATAATATTTTCTTGAATGTGGGGTGAGAGGGCTTTGTCAAATATTTATTTTTCTTAGGTTACCTCTATAATTTCCTTAATACCTCAAAAGAAAAGTTGTTTTCTCACCAAAGTTGAGAAAACTTATTCCTTCAAACACATTGCCTATCACAAAAAGACAACAGATCGCTCACATGAAACTAGTTGATTGGTTTGAAGACTTGTCAATATGAATATTCTTAGAGAAACACATAATTGTTTGTCCACTTCCTCAAAAAAATAAATTTGAATGACAAGATTGCCCACAGCAGTGTTGGAAATTCAAAACCAAAAATATTATTTTATAATCAAATAAAAAATTTGAAATTTCGACATAATAATTGTTAAAATTAGAGGTCATTTTTTTCTTTTCATTTTTGCTACCTATACAATCTTTAATAATCGTTGACCACCCTCGTATATCTCCTTAATTAGCCCATCCCATGCCTTCAATGCTTCACTCATTTCTTTTGTCTTTTGATTATACGTATATAGGTTAGTAAGTGTCTAGAACCAAAGCAAACATTAAGACACATATTATAGATCGGTATAACACCAAATCAAGACTTTAAGCATAGCGTATCAACTCTTTCAATCATGATGTTTTTTTCTGTTATGTATCTGCTTTTTTTCTTCTTCTTTTTTTTTTTTGTATTTGCTTTTTTTTTTTTTAATTCTTTTCAATATATCAACTTTTTCCAAAAAAATATTAAGAGACGTATGTTGATTTACTTTGTAGTTTTTGAAAGTGATATCTATTTGTTCTTTTAAAACTTATGAATTTCTTGTCAATAATTCACTCAAGCTCTTTTATTATTAGGGGTATTGATTACTTTTAAAAATAGTTTTTATTTTAAAATATATTAAAATAATTTTTTATTTTAAAAAATTATTAATATTAGCATATAAAAAATATTTAAAAATATATAAAAAAAATTCAAATTTTACCAAACACATTCAAAACAGAATAGCAAATGGGGGCTAAGCAAACCCTATGCAACGTTTTAAGTTATGTGCAGGGATTTCGATAAAATTGAATTAATCATTCTAAATTAAATACAACGATCTCTATAAATATCATTTTAAATTACAGATTGACCATTGTAATGAGATCAGAAGGAATGGCAGAGATTTTATTTTCTAATAAATCTGCATATGAGTAACCGCTTTTCCTAACATGAACAAAAAGCATTTCCTGGAGCTTCACTGGTTTGTTCTGACCAGCACATTTCCTTCTCGTGATGACAGACCGGTTCAGGAGTTGATACAGCCCTAGACTAAGGTTAAGGGTTGAGCTTGTTGATCTAAAAATTGTCAAGTTAACCCATATTATAATTTAAAAAACTCTAAAATAATATCCTTTCAAGATTTTTTTTATTTAAATAAACAATGTCAATTTGGTATAAAAAATAAAAACAAACCCTACCAAATCAAATTTCAAGTCAGCAAGTCGCCGAATCAATTCAATCGAGTAAGAATATGGATTGGCCCCGCAGGGTTAACTGGAGTTTGAAAACTAAAAGAACGAACTTTTTGAAGAAACTTGAGCTAAAAGCCCAACAACCATATAGATAATATATCACTAGAGCTTCCCAGTTCCCTCAAGCCTCATTGTTAATGCAAATGCAATCCCCTTGGAGTTATTTTGTCATACAATTCTTCCCATCACAAGAGGTATAATTTCATAAAGGAAATAAAGAAGAGATCCTTGATTCAAACACAATTTAATAACTCAGAAATGCTACAATACAATGCTTACAACAATCATCCTCATCAAAACAAAACTACCAGAAGTGAAAACAACGATTCTCAGAGAGAAACTTAAAAATAAATAAAAACTGTTTGTCCAATCAACGATAAATTTATATTTGTTGTGTCCATAATAAATACAGACTACAACTATATTTATTGTTTTAATCCGAGGAAGAAAGGGCTGCAAAATAAGAAAGTGAACATGATGTAGATGATTTGCTGTCTGTCAAGTGGCTCATACATGCTGTAAGGACCATAGAAGTAGCAATATTGGCAAAACGTTGGCAATGGTAGTTTGAACTATGGCCGATGTTTTAGCTGCAAAATGATCAGAAAATTGCATGTGATTAGAGCATTTTATCATAACTGAATTAAATTTGGAGCAGTTAAAGTTTTACCATATTTGTTAACAGAACATATTCTGTAATGATTACTGCAGTACCTATTTTGGCCGCGGTACTGGCTCTTGGTGGCACTGCATCTGCTGTTGCTTGTGGTGGCGGTGGAAGGACTGAAAGTGGCGCTGGAGACGGTGGCGGCGTCGTGGCTACAAGATCATAGAAAGGGTCCTTTTCATATCGAAAGTGACAGCTAGGTGAAATCACCCTCCCTCCTTGCTTCTTGTAACAGCATCTTGGAATCAATTTGATAGCTTGATTCAGGCAACCGCTGCATTGCTGCTCAGTCAAATCAGGAGTGCACTGAACAAGTGCATACATTTTTTCTTGAGAGTTTTCCGTGGTCTCATTTCCTGTTGCAAATTTTCTTCGTGAATCACCTAATGCTGCTAAATTAGTAAGGTTGTCTAACAAAACATTTAGCTTCTCATAGAACTCTTTTTCGTCGGTCACGTTATTCACGTTGTACATCCAAAAGTAAGGCCCAGATTCCATAATGCCTGCTATGGAACGGTTTGAATACCTTAACATGCAATCATCATACCATATATAGGCCTCCTTTTGGTTTGGACAGAGTTGTGTAAGCACTCGGCTAGAATTAGTGATGCAACTTCGGCAGGTTTCGGGCTTTTTATCTCCTCTACAGAGTGAAATTGCGTTAACTTTGCCATTGTTTTGGCCATACGAGTCGTTGTAAAACCCATAGTCGATTTTGGTATTGGAAGAGAAGGAGGAAAGCAGGTTATTGAGGTTTGATTTGTAGTCACTACTGTTAGTGAAGTTACCAGTTTCCGAACAAATGTGATAAAGTGGATCTGATTGTGCAATAGAGAGGACAAGGAGGTTAATGAAAATGGGACAAAAAAGGAAAAGCAATCTTGATGCTGCCATAGCCATTGCAGAACCTCACTTTCTCTTTGTGATTTTTATTGAGTGGCAGCAGGATTCCTTATATTTTCATGCATGGCATGGCACAGGTACTGGGTGGGAAATCTCCGAGTGAAATGGTGACTTTCTGTTTGTCTATTCTCTACCTGCCTAATTTCTACGGAATAAATGGTGTGGGCCCCCATTTTTAATTTGAAAATCTTGCAAAGACTCGCGGAAGACTTGAACTCTTTGGCTATCACTAAAGGCAACAGACTCGGTCACATGGAACTCCTTGTTTGGTTTGAAGACTTGCCAACCTCAAAAACACTGAATTGCTTGTCGACTTCCTCAGTAAAAACTTGGACCTACAGCGTTGAAATTTCAAAACATATAAGATAATAGGACCAGGTCAATGGTGGAGTCTTCCTTAGTATTTGTGTCCAATTTGGTACATATAATTCAGTTCAGTCCCTTACCTCAAATTTATTCACATTTGGATCCTCTGTCCTCTCTCTCTCTCTCTCAATACATATTCTTGAAAAAGTTAAAAAGTACTTTCCTTCTTGACTAAAAAAAATTAAACCAAAATTTTAAGATTTTTACACTTTCCTTCTTGACTAAAAATTTTACCGGAATAGAATCTCCCTATATTAGATGTTGAAAAATTAAACCAAAATTTTAAGATTTTTACTTTATAATTCCTAAACTTGGAGGTCTTAGATGTGATAGTTTAACTTGTATTGATGTAATATATTATTATTATTATTATATATATATTATTTAATATTTGACTATATCAATATTTTAAAAAATTATCATCTAATATATATCATATTTAAAGTCCATAATTAATGTTTTAATTATTATTATTATAAAACATATTAGTAATGCAATGTAGTCCAGTGTGGGTAAATGATTTAGTAAAAGTTAAGAGAAAGAGATCATATCAAGCTAGTGTGGCAAGAATTTTTTTATATATAATGAACTTGAAATTTTTATATTTATATTTTTTAATATATTTTTTTGGTTGATAACAAGAAAAGACAAGTGAAAAAGAACCTCTACGAAATTATGTGTTTTTGGTGTAGCATCAGAGTATTAAGTAACCTGAAACTTTTATAAATAATAAGTCTAAAAAAGTTATTATAAGTATCCTTTTTTATGTAATTTAATTATTACTTAAAATTAAAATAAATTTATTATTACATTGAATTTTCTTGTAAGCAAATCATACAAAGTAGATGATTTCAAGATATAGAACTAATCGGGAAAATCATCCTTCGTCATAATCCTACACGATGGAGTCAACATCTCATAGTTCATCAATTCAGATATTGAAAGAACAAATAAAGAAAAGAGATGGTCACATTTTATCACTACAATAGAAAATAACTTCTGTTAAAATTTTTTTTAATAACATGGGATACCAAGCTTGGGAAGATAACTTCTGTTAAAAAATTTTTTAATAACATGGGATACCAAGCTTGGACCAAGGTATGTCGGCACCTATAGCTTTATTTATGCCGCCGTATAATCATGTCAATTTTTTTTTTTTGTGTTTATTTATATACATGTTCATGCTACTTTATTTATAAGTAATTCTATTGAAAATTTGATAACATTTACTTTATAAGTGGAATATTAAGTTATAGGGTGTCTTATCCATTTCACAATCATTAACATGATATAATTCATTTGTCTTATACTTTATTCCATATTATTTCAACCATAAATCAATCCCAAACTTATGTATACATATCTCACTTTTTGATAATTTTATCATGTCCATTTCACAAGAACTTAAATATAAATAGATGTTAAGAAAGAAAATATATTCAATCTCATATACCTATTAACTTGAATTACATAGAAAGAGAATGAAAAATCTAAACACATATCTTAAGCTTCTGTTTTTTTTTTTTATCATGCACATGCTATGCTGCCTTACTAAGTCTCTAATTAAATTCTTTTACTACCTATATATGCATTTTATTTTATTTGAATTGAAATTGATATCTAGTATAAAACATGAGTATTTGATTTATACACACCATAAGAATTTATGCGCATGCATAATAATATTTTATTTAAGAATTTCATTACATAAATCAGAACATAGATAGAACAATGTTATTAAAAAAGGAAAGATAATAAAAAAAGATTTTTTAGTTTAGTTTACAAAATTAATTACATGTACAACAAAAGTTTTGAATCCTGAAGGCAACCTAACTTCTTGACCCACCGATACACAAAGGTCCTGCAACAAAGATTTATTAAGCATAAGTTAGCGAACATAATTTTTTTTTCCAAACATGTACAAAGGGTACTCATCCTTCTTATCCAATCATATAAAAGACTCAAAGAAAAAATTATGGAAATGTAACTATTAATATAGTTGTTTCACGAACGGTAGTTACACTTTCATAATAATACCACATTGAGATATTATTATGGAAATGTAACTATTAATATAGTTGATTTATAATTTTCGTTACAAAAAAAGACTCAAAGAAATCAAAAACTCGTATTATCAAATTAAAAACAATTACTGACAAATTCAAAGTTTTATTAGTTAAAATAAACATAAAAAAACCTACAAAACATCCCATAATAAAAACCTGTCACATATTGTAGAGGGACATAATAAATAAATAATACAGTTTTAACTCAAAAATATATGTTGACTTGGATCCCATTTGTTTGCTGAAAAGTAATTTCATTTTGAAAAATAGTTTTTTTGGAAAATAAATTCCTAAAAAGTGAATTATTTTTTATGTTTGATAGTATTATGAAAAATAATTGAAAAACACTTTCTAGTGTTTTGTTAAGTTATAGAAAATGAGCTGAAAAATAGTTTATTAATATTTTTTTTTTCAAGTTTATTAAAATAATAAGGAAAAAATATTACAAATTAAAAATTAAAATTAAAAAATATAATTATATAAAATAAATAATAATCAAAGTGACAAATATCAAATCTAAGAAATAAAAAAATAAAAAATGAAGAAATTAAAATAATAATATTAATATTTCATAAATTATTTCAAATAAAATAAGTAATAATCAAAAGAATGGAGACCAAATTTGATAGATAAAAAATTTCACTTAAAAAAATAATAAGAGAAAAGCAAATAACAATCATAAAAATAAAGATCAAAGTTAATATAAAAATCAAATTAAA